AAAGGACACACTGACAAAGGAGATTAATCAGAACTGGCTTTGACAAGCACTGTGGCAATTGGACAATTAAAACAGACATGGGGGGGAAAGAAGAATGAACTGGGGATGAGGGTGGAGAAAACAGTGTAACAATGAATGAATGAAAACCCAAAATCTCTGTAAATGTTCATTAAAACTAATAAAATTTAATAAAAAGAAAAAGAAACAAAAAGCAAAAAAACCCAAAAGTCTGTAAGTCTTGGTCAGCTCTAAGGGGGGAGGCATAAAATAGAGGGGCATTCCCATTTCCCAGATACCAACAAACTCAATGTAATTCATTGCTATCAAGTTGGAACCAACCCAGAACTGACCTCTTAGTTTTCCATTTTCCCCCTCAGAGTGGCTGGTGCATTTGAACCATCAGAGACCTTGGCCTTTGGCTTAGCAGGGCAACCTCCTATGGACTACACCACCAGGTCCCCCCATATCTCAAATGAAGAAATCAGCAAGATGTTAGAAAACACTCCTCAATAGCAAACACCTTTTAGAGAACAGGTCTAGAATAGTGGTATATTCTACAACTTTCTCATCCCTTAGAAATAGTTCTTTGTTGACTATTCATGATAGAAAACATCATTGTATTGTGATGTCTTTAGAGCTCTGAATTTTGCATCTGTAGATGTAGATATAGATGTCTAAGTATTGCCTTAGAAAATCCACCTGAGGCATTTTAGTGAAGAAGTCAAGAGCTCAGATTCAGAATTAGGCTGACCTCAAATTCTAACTCTTCTGCATGGTAGTTTAGTGACCCTGAGAAAATTACTTAATAAACTTTTGTTTTTCTCAATAAGATGGATTGACTTAGTGACTGGGGAAATAGAGGTAGGTGTGTCAGAGACAATAAGGATAGAGCAGAGTTCAGAGCTGTTGTACATAGAGTAGCTATGAGTTGCAGTTGACTTGACAACACATAACAACAACGTAAAGATTAAATGAGTTAATATATATAAAGTTCTTAGAAAATAGTTTATCTTATAGTCTCATCTATTATTAGGCTCTTTATAGATCTCAGATTTTATGCCATTTAAGTGTATTTAAGGTCTATAGTAGTTCACTATGAATCTCTGGTGACTTAGTGGTAAGGAGTTGCAATGTCAACCCAAAGGTACATGGTTTGAATCTACCAGCTGCTCCACAGGAGAAAGTTAGTCAGTCAATTTCCTTGTGATGTGATTGACTGCCTTTGAAAACCTGCTTAAGTTTCAACTATGAGTCGGTTAAACTCTGTGGTACATAACAAAAACAGTAGACCATCATACTGCTCTGGTAGCACAGACCCAAAAGTCTGTGTTTTCCTGGCAGTTTGAGCCCAAAAGTGCTCGAAGGGAGAGAAATAGGCAACATCTTCCAATGCTGGTTACAGCCTTGGAAACCCAATGGAGGGTCAGCGATGGGTTGGAACTGACTAGACAGCAATAAGAACATGAGTGAATGTTATTTTCAAAACTAAACCTGGAAGCACTAGGAGTTTAAGGAGTTTTTGAAAGGCTTCCCAATTTAAAATTCCCCCTATTGAGCCTCAACAACCCAGGCTGCCATGCTCTGAAGTCTGGACGGAGCCATCAACCATTCAGACGGCAAGAAGGTGCCATAAAAGAAGGAGTCTGCTTTCAGTTGGAAAGCTGTCAACTTGGATGTCTTTCCAAAGTACCCGCTTCTTTGAAGCCAGCACTATAACCGGATCTTAACATCAGTTCCACAACTGGCCTATTCTTACTGCTGTTGTTGTTGCTGTTGTTGGTAGA